GAGCACCTGATCGATTTCTTTGCGCTTTTAAACGAGTCTTCGTGTAAATCTTCCTTTTGTCCATAATTCACCCTACTTTTATCCAATTTGAGTTTGGATTACGGATATGTTAACACATTTACATTTTCTTGTTGTTTTTTAAAACAAGTGCTAATAAAACCAGAAAATTCATTTTTCTGTAATATCTTCTTGTAAGCATTATTCTTACAAAAGTAAATCTAGATTGTCTCGAAAAGTGACCTACAAATCAACATTACATCTGGGATTAGCACAAAACTATGACTATCAACATCTCTGTTCAAAGTCATCCTATACCAGACACAAATTCCTCAACTTTGTTATTTTGTGTAATGATATATAGACAAGGATTTATCTAAGACCTATTTGTCTTTTGACAACACCAGTAATAAATGTTAAAAGCCACACCCTTTTGGATTACATCTATATAAATAAATGCAGGTGTCTCTTAAAAAAAATGTGTCTTAACACACTTGTATAAACTTGAAGGTAAACAAGCAACAGGTTTAGGGGCGGCGAATATATAGTATATTTTGTCGTTTATAATTAATTTGGCCTAAAGAAATAGTTATATCTGCCAACCTGACTGACCCCACACTTTTGATATTTTTGGTATTTTTTTAGGGAAGGACAAAGGAATAGTTAAGATTCATTCCCGGTAATCATTAGTAGAAACTTTAAAAAATGATAGTCTTTGTTTAATAAAAAACAAACAAAACTACCACATGACATTTTTGTTCCCCTAAACGCTATCCAAAGTCATTTGAGAAACAGCCCAAATTAAATCATGTACTTTTACATTGAACTGCAATAAACAAATTTTGATAAATTTCAGTCAAATAAAGAACATGCAGGGACCTTCAACTCCTAAAATAAAACAGTGATGCCATCGTCAAGCGGTATTTAAATATGTCCACAGAGATACTGGTTTTATCAATGGATGAGAATTTAAATTTAAAAGAAACCTGAGAAAAGCATGAACAAATGAAAGATTAACAAAGAAACCATTAAAAATACAAACAGAACTAAACAGGACCAGGTGTTTTGGAAGGGCAAGTGGAACATCATACCTAGAGAACACATACTTTGTATCATAAAACAGGCTTTCTTGGGCTTATTGTTGGCAGGAAGTCCATTCCTTCAGATTTTATGGGATGTAACTTGATTAAGTGACATTTATCTATGTGTAGATATATATTCACCACAATAAGCACATAAAACACCTATGTCACAGCATTAATTTTACCAGGGTCAAATATAGATAGATACTTTTGAACTTCTGGTCCAGATTTTGACAATTTTAATTAATTAAATATACTTTCTTTATAAAACATAATTAGTATATACATATTGTATCATGTTTGGATAATTAAAAAAAATTGTGATTCCCTTATAAAACATCATTAGTATATACATATTGTATCATGTTTGGGTAATTAAAAAAAATTGTGATTCCCTTATAAAACATAATTAGTATATACATATTGTATCATGTTTGGATAATTAAAAAAAATTGTGATTCCTTATAAAACATAATTAGTATATATAACATAATTAGTATATACATCATGTTTGGGTAATTAAAAAAAATTGTATATACATAATTAGTATATACATATTGTATCATGTTTGGATAATTAAAAAAAATTGTGATTCCCTTATAAAACATAATTAGTATATACATATTGTATCATGTTTGGGTAATTAAAAAAAATTGTGATTTCGTTATAATATCTGGCCTCTCTTACTGGCAAAGTTGTCTTTAAAACTTATGTTTTTCCTTTATTTTTCAGCGCCTAAAGGATAATCATCAATTTTTTCTATTTCAATAAAAATTTTGACATACACATGTAAATACCGGTAAATACATAAAAACCATACCTCACCAAAGTTATTTTGAAATTATAATTGATTATTCCGTTGATAGTGTAGTGAAGACATTCTAGTTTAAGTACAGTTTGGAGGATTCTAGGTATAGCTACATCCTGCTATATCGTGTGACTTCAGAACAACAAAAACATTTCTATCTGTTGATGTGTCTGTTTGACAGTATTGTAATATAATAATAACTTACTACTCATTTACACAATTAGATTTTAACAAAAGTACACCTTCTTTTCGCTTCAAAAAGTAAAAACATGGCCCAACCTCAGACTGGCATTTTTCTACATTTTCTTACCAGTCCTTCAATCCATTTCACAAGTTCTAGTTAGAATATGACATTAATACATTATTAAAAGAAAACAAAAAGGACAATGTTCTGTATATATTTTTTTCTTTTTTTTTATGATAGTTTATGTTCTGCAATCACTGATAATTACAATCTTTACTTCTAAGTGGCACAAAGCTTACATTCTTTATACCTCTCCTGCTGAGTGACCACCATATTTTTTTTACTCTTAGTCAATATACCGATCTTATTAACTTGACTTTGTTTACAAAATTTCCCTCCCTTATCCCTAAGCTTTGTCTTGTGATTAGCAACCACATTCCAAAATGTCAAGGTGAAATGTAAATCAAAAACCAATTGCAGGACTCTGGAAAGAGTGGCGCCACAGAATGGCTGATCTTTGTTCAGGGACATTGGGACCAGCACCATACTGGATATGCCTGCCATAGTGTATGTGACTTTCATTACATATAAACAAAATATCAATGAAAGAGTCATCTTTCTAGCACCTACTAGTGGGAAATTCAGTTTAATGAACAAGTATGGTATCTGGCTCCAGGCCGAAGGATTGCTAGTTTGAGTTTGCCCTGCCTTCCTCACCAGGATTCAAACTATCAAACCATACGACTTTTGTCTGTCATGTACTCTCAACTTCTGAACTCCTTCCTCCTTCACAAAGTGTTCAACCCTGAAGGCTTACCTCCAATGGGTCATCTAGGTCACCTATTATCTATAAGCATTATTCACTGTACAGTACAGTAAATCTGTAATAAATGGAAGAAGTAATAAAAAATACCGGTTATGCCATCGTCAAGGTTCGAACTAGCAACCCTTCAGTCTCCAGCCGGACATTCTTATGATAGACTCCGGGGAAATTCTCCATTAATCGCGGCTAGCAAGGTAACCTGACCAGCGTATTCTAACATCAAAAATAATAGTAACTTTTGGTAAGGTAATTTAGAAAGGAAATTAAAGATTTTGACAGCTTTGATGTGCGGTAGTGTTCAGCAGAGCTCAGGGCTTCCAGAGAGGACAATCTATAATGTGTGACGACGAGGAGCGAGTCGGAATCGATGTAGGAAGGGGGGTAACTCTTATTGTTGTCATTTTTCAGTTCAACGTTTGCTTGTCAAACAGGAAATTCATGGTCATGTTCACTGGTATATTTCAGTGAGAAGCATTCAGTTATTTACCATATATATTTTTTCTCTGGTGTTTTAAAAGCTGCAAAAGGGTTGCAGGTCATCATTATCGCTTTCGTCTTCCTTCCTTTCAATCAAGTTACCCGCACTTTCACTTCATCCGCATAAAATAGTTCCGTTTAGACGAATCTTTATAAAATCTGTAATCTCTTTTCAATATCAGTGTCTTAATATTAATGAATGCGCATGAAAAATATAACAGAATTTCAATATTCATTTCAGATGAATGTCATTTGTGTATGACGAAGCCTATGTTGATTTTTACATCTGATATTCCTACGCTCCACCACTACAGCGATCGCTCTATCCGTACTATGGTAAGTTTTCCTGGTAATTTTGCTTGTGAGTACTGAAAGAGACATACCACCTATGTTCTTTGACAATAACTAATTTATATGGAAATATAACAAGTTCTTGCAATATTTTCATGTTTGTGAAGCAGTGAAGGATGATATGTCACACGACAGGTGCTTCTTATCCGCCATTTTCGTCCCTTGTCGATCTCTCTCTCTTCGTTATTTCTTCCACTAATGGTGTGTTGGAGGGTTTTCATAATTTGAAGATGGTTCCAAACAGTCGAATGTTCATTATACTTAACTGTGAAGCATTTTGCCAATTACAAACTTATCTAAAGGGATTCATTTATTCATTTCCGTTCTTTGTTCTGTCCATCCGCCATATTTCGAGGGGGCGTGGTTTGTTATGAATACGGAAGCATGCGTAAAGGTGTTTTCCGTGATGACAGCACGCTTTCAGTTTTTTTCAACAATCATATCAATTCTTTCAAGCTAATCATTTATATTTGGTCATTTATTAAAAACTATAAGGTGGAAAATGGTTATTTTCTAATTCATTTCATTTGATATTTTCAAAAACTCATAATTACTAAAATAGGCTAGAAAGTTCAATTTCAATATTTCATATTTGAAATGGGTCATTTTGGGAGCCACTATAAATATTGATTCCAAATATGACTAAAAATAGGCATGTGAAAAGCTGCTCTTCATAACAATTATTGTTATGTTGTTGAATAAGAGTCAATATTGACACAATTTTGAGAAATACCGGAAAATAGTATCAGCTAATTTTTGAAAGCTGATTTACATTGAAAATCAATACAAAACATTTGGTACTTTGAACGAGATGTTTATTTAACATGAAAACCTTACTGGTAAGTGCAACTCTCATATGGAATAAGACAAGCACTGCAAAGGTTCAAAGTCTGGGCTGAGTTTAGACATGTATTGTGATTTTTCAAGAGAAATTTGAAGGTTCAAATTTTTTGTATTAAATTTTGATGTTTGTTATTGTTTCTTCCTATCTTTAAACCTTGAAAGTGAAACTTGATGCAACTCCAAAAGTTGTGTCTGTAATAAACATAAGTTTAGCTTTTTTTCCCCTGCAGAAGCTAGTGTTACAGATACCAATGAAATATTTTCAGGTGATATTAAAATATAGCTCATGAAATTTTCAGTTTATCGCCTTGCATGGAAATTAAAAAAGGAAAGAAAATAATTTTCTATATATTTGTTGTCCTCTGTAGGAAAGGGCATGGAAGGACTTGGAAGTGGTTACAGTTTTGGACAAAGTGACCTTGAATTTCCTCCCCCTGATGGCCAGCTGTCTGGACATGGAGGGGGTATTTCCAACTTTTCACCCTCCCTACACCTCAGCTACCCTCACATGCAACATGGTGTAACACTACGGGACTCGGTTTACTCCACTCCAGGGCTCAGTGGAAGGGGCTCCCAGGGGTCTGATACATTCCAAATGTCAAGATTTCCAATGAGTGTGACTCCAGAAACAGCTATCCGAGGAGTTCCGACTATTTCAGCTCCGGATTTCAATCCCATTATTTCACGCCATCACCTTGAAGTGTCCCCACATACTCCTCCATCTTTGCCTCCTTTATCAAACTTTGATGATTCTGTGTATATGTCATCAGCTGACCGTAACACAGTGTCCCACACATCAGTAACTCACAGTGATCATCCGTCATTTGGTTCCATCATGGCATCTGCTGTTTCCAATATTTCCACCATGAACATTCCACAGCCGTATGATGCTCGAGCTGACACACACACAGAATCTCAGGTGTCTGATTTGAGTCTGCCCAGAGTCCGGGAGAGCTCAACCTATAACTCTTCAATGACCAATACATCACAACCTCAGTCTTTTCTTGATTTTCCATCAAGCTCCTCCAGTGAGGGAAGATCACACAACTCTGAGACTATTCAGACTGTGTCTTCTTTAGAATCATTCTCACAGCCTTTACTAAATCAACAATTCCAAGAACAAGTGACCTCGACACGACCTTCACCTTCCACATCATATGCAGTTGTGAGAAGCTTGTTACCAGACCAACCAGTATTACGCTCTAGACCAACCAACACTCAAACATTGCCTATGGAAAACTTGGATGGTGATCAACAAGTTCCTAATGCTGTTATGTCTCCTGCTTCAGGCTGCTCCTCACCAAATATTCGAAACCCAACAAACCAAGATAGCAGGCCTGTCAGTTTACTACGCCAAACAGTCAATCATGACAGTCTGCAATTGCAGGTGGCACAAACAGATAATATGGCAACACTTCAAAATGAGACCAGCTTTGCAAATTCAACATATATAGGAGCCGAACTTTGTACTGAGGATAAATTTATCCCAGTATTAGAACCAAGCAAGTGTTCAAGTCCAGAGTCATTGGATCATCAGTCTACAAAGATCAGCACTGGTAATCAGGAGAAAAGTGTAGGTCCTTTCCCAGGCAGTAGCAGAATGGAGACAAGTTCTACCTCTTGCTATAAACCTGGAGAGAGACGAAGCCCTAGGAGAAGCAGCTCAAGGTTGCCGGATAGACAGAGCTATACAGACGTAAGTACTTCATCAGACAGTAAGACAAGTCATCAACAGGTTTGTGATAATGCAATGGAGGATGGAACAGGTAAAGAAAACCTGAGAGAAAGATCACAGAATGAGCAGGAAAAAGGTTCTAGGGAAGGTATTACAGGTCCAAGGTTACCTCTGGATTCTACAAGTACAGTAGGAAGACATCTTGTTCCTTTCTTCAAAATTGGAAAATTGTGGAGAAAGCCGAGGAGGTCAAGACTTAAAGTACCTCCGCCAATAGACTTGTCTGTCTCATCATCAGAAGCAGACGACCAGAATCTGGAGGATGAGGAGGATGAGTATCAGTATGAATCTCTCACACATGATCAGGATGAGTCCTTGGTTAAAGACGAGGGTCCTGATTTTACAGGGGCAGACCATGACCAACAACAGTTCATCAGGATGTCTCAGCCTGTCTTCAGTAGGAATGATGAACAGGAGACTATGTCAGACTACAGCTCACACCAAGACAGCAGTCAGCAGTTTGTCGATAACTTTGAAAATGAAGGACGTGTAAGTCGGAGGAAAACAAGGAGATCATTTATCTATCATACTGAAGAATCTAAAGCTGGTATTTCTGATAAAGGGACAAAACAGAATCTTAGTGACGACTATATTACCAGGTGTACAGAGGAATTGGTGGCTGCTGCTATGGGAGATATGCCCATAGAGAGCCAGGAAAAAAGACGGTTGAACTCAAAATTAAATCCATTTGCCATCACTTCCCCGAGTTTTGGCACATCAGCGGCTCGTGCTGTGATGACAACTTCTGTGGCTAACAATGCCACTGTGATTACAATTTCTATTATGGGGAAGGGAAATGCAGCTAAGAAAGGAAGAACAAAGACCATCAACATCAATAAGGGAGTTATAATGTCCACCAGTTTTCAGGATCGGCCGGTCAGGAATAAAGACGGAGTTGAAGAGGAAGATCAGTCAGAGGTAGGCAAACAAACTACTTCCATAATGTCACGATTAAAACGGGAGAAGGAAGATCAAGGAGGACAAGATGATGATGAAGATGTTGTTGAGACCATGGAAGTGAATGTTCGCATTGACGATTCACAACTTGTGCAGCATGGTGAACAGAAGCGGTGGCAATGCCACCTGTGTGAGAAATCCTACACCACAAAGCACAATCTGGTGGCACACATCCTTGATCACAACAACATCAAACCACACCTCTGTATGGTGTGTGGCAAGTACTTTAAACAGCTAAGCCACCTCAACACACACATGCTCACTCATGATAACATAAGACCACACAAGTGTGACATCTGTGGAAAAGGCTTCACCCAGATCAGCCACCTGAAGCGACACACTGCAGTACACTTGGACAGCAAGCCATACAAATGTGATATGTGTAGTCGTGGGTTTGCTTACCCGAGTGAGTTGAAGGCACACAAGGAGAAGCATGTACAAGGCCACGATAAATGTGAGGAGTGTGGAATGGAGTTTGAGAGTCCAAGAGCTCTCAAACTTCATCAACTCAAACACGACAATCGGGAAGACCTCATATGTAAATATTGTGACAAGGCATTCCGCTACCCTAGCCAACTCAAGGATCACTTGGTGTCTCATGAGGGTACACGCCCTTTCATCTGTGGGGAATGTGGCATGGATTTCATGAAGGTAAGAATGCTAGATAATTATACTTATACACAAGTGATGTAACAAGTCACTGGTGATGTAACAAGTCACTACTACCACACTGGTGATGTAACAAGTCACTACTACCACACTGGTGATGTAACAAGTCACTACTACCACACTGGTGATGTAACAAGTCACTACTACCACACTGGTGATGTAACAAGTCACTACTACCACACTGGTGATGTAACAAGTCACTACTACCACACTGGTGATGTAACAAGTCACTACTACCACACTGGTGATGTAACAAGTCACTACTACCACACTGGTGATGTAACAAGTCACTACTACCACACTGGTGATGTAACAAGTCACTGGTGATGTAACAAGTCACTACTACCACACTGGTGATGTAACAAGTCACTACTACCACACTGGTGATGTAACAAGTCACTACTACCACACTGGTGATGTAACAAGTCACTACTACCACACTGGTGATGTAACAAGTCACTGGTGATGTAACAAGTCACTACTACCACACTGGTGATGTAACAAGTCACTACTACCACACTGGTGATGTAACAAGTCACTACTATCACACTGGTGATGTAACAAGTCACTTCTACCACACTGGTGATGTAACAAGTCACTCTTACCACACTGGTGATGTAACAAGTCACTACTACCACACTGGTGATGTAACAAGTCACTACTACCACACTGGTGATGTAACAAGTCACTACTACCACACTGGTGATGTAACAAGTCACTACTACCACACTGGTGATGTAACAAGTCACTACTACCACACTGGTGATGTAACAAGTCACTACTACCACACTGGTGATGTAACAAGTCACTACTACCACACTGGTGATGTAACAAGTCACTACTACCACACTGGTGATGTAACAAGTCACTACTATCACACTGGTGATGTAACAAGTCACTTCTACCACATTGGTGATGTAACAAGTCACTGGAGATGTAACAAGTTACTACTACCACACCGGTGATGTAACAAGTCACTACTATCACACCAGTGATGTAACAAGTCACTACCACCACACTGGTGATGTAACAAGTCACTACTACCACACTGGTGATGTAACAAGTCACTACTACCACACTGGTGATGTATCATGTCACTACTACCACACTGGAGATGTAACAAGTCACTACTACCACACTGGTGATGTAACAAGTCACTACTATCACACTGGTGATGTAACAAGTCACTACTACCACACTGGTGATGTAACAAGTCACTACTACCACACTGGTGATGTAACACATCACTACTACCACACTGGTGATGTAACAAGTCACTACTACCACACTGGAGATGTAACAAGTCACTACTACCACACTGGTGATGTAACACATCACTACTACCACACTGGTGATGTAACAAGTCACTACTACCACACTGGTGATGTATCATGTCACTACTACCACACCGGTGATGTAACAAGTCACTACTATCACACTGGTGATGTAACAAGTCACTGCTACCACACTAGTGATTTAACAGTCACCATTGATCTGATTGTCCTATTATTAAGTCACCACTAATCTGATTGTCCTATTATCCAGTCACCACTAATTTGATTGTCCTACAATCCAGTCACCACTAATCTGATTGTCCTACAATCCAGTCACCACTAACCTGATTGTCCTACAATCCAGTCACCACTAACCTGATTGTCCTATTATCCAGTCACCACTAACCTGATTGTCCTACAATCCAGTCACCACTAACCTGATTGTCCTACAATCCAGTCACCACTAATCTGATTGTCCTACAATCCAGTCACCACTAATCTGATTGTCCTACAATCCAGTCACCAGTAATCTGATTGTCCTACAATCCAGTCACCACTTATCTGATTGTCCTACAATCCAGTCACCACTAATCTGATTGTCCTACAATCCAGTCACCACTAATCTGATTGTCCTATTATCCAGTCACCACTAACCTGATTGTCCTACAATCCAGTCACCACTAATCTGATTGTCCTACAGTCAAGTTACCACTTATCTGATTGTCCTACAATCCAGTCACCACTAATCTGATGTCCCACTATCCAGTCACCACTAATCTGATTGTCCTACAATCCAGTCACCACTAATCTGATTTTCCTACAATCCAGTCACCACTAATCTGATTGTCCTACAATCCAGTCACCACTAATCTGATTGTCCTACAATCCAGTCACCACTAATCTGATTGTCCTACAATCCAGTCACCACTAATCTGATTGTCCTACAATCCAGTCACCACTAATCTGATTGTCCTACAATCCAGTCACCACTAATCTGATTGTCCTACAATCCAGTCACCACTAATCTGATTGTCCTACAATCCAGTCACCACTAATCTGATTGTCCTACAATCCAGTCACCACTAATCTGATGTCCCACTATCCAGTCACCACTAATCTGATTGTCCTACAATCCAGTCACCACTAATCTGATTTTCCTACAATCCAGTCATCACTAGTCTGATTTTCCTACAATCCAGTCACCACTAATCTGATTTTCCTACAATCCAGTCATCACTAATCTGATTGTCCTACAATCCAGTCACCACTAATCTGATTGTCCTACAATCCAGTCACCACTAATCTGATTGTCCTACAATCCAGTCACCACTAATCTGATTGTCCTACAATCCAGTCACCACTAATCTGATTGTCCTACAATCCAGTCACCACTAATCTGATTGTCCTACAATCCAGTCACCACTAATCTGATTGTCCTACAATCCAGTCACCACTAATCTGATTGTCCTACAATCCAGTCACCACTAATCTGATTGTCCTACAATCCAGTCACCACTAATCTGATTGTCCTACAATCCAGTCACCACTAATCTGATTGTCCTACAATCCAGTCACCACTAATCTGATTGTCCTACAATCCAGTCACCACCACTGATAACCTGATTGTCCTACAATCCAGTCACCACTAATCTGATTGTCCTACAATCCAGTCACCACTAATCTGATTGTCCTACAATCCAGTCACCACTAATCTGATTTTCCTACAATCCAGTCACCACTAATCTGATTGTCCTACAATCCAGTCACCACTAATCTGATTGTCCTACAATCCAGTCACCACTAACCTGATTGTCCTACAATCCAGTCACCACTAATCTGATTGTCCTACAATCCAGTCACCACTAATCTGATTGTCCTACAATCCAGTCACCACTAATCTGATTGTCCTATTATTAAGTCACCACTAATCTGATTGTCCTACAATCCAGTCACCACTAATCTGATTGTCCTACAATCCAGTCACCACTAATCTGATTGTCCTACAATCCAGTCACCACTAATCTGATTGTCCTACAATCCAGTCACCACTTATTTGATTGTCCTACAATCCAGTCACCACTGATCTGATTGTCCTACAATTCAGTCACCACTAATCTGATTGTCCTACAATCCAGTCACCACTAATCTGATTGTCCTACAATCCAGTCACCACTAATATGATTGTCCTACAATCCAGTCACCACTAATCTGATTGTCCTACAGTCAAGTTACCACTAATCTGATTGTCCTACAGTCAAGTTACCACTTATCTGATTGTCCTATTATTAAGTCACCACTAATCTGATTGTCCTACAATCCAGTCACCACTTATCTGATTTTCCTACAATCCAGTCACCACTAATCTGATTGTCCTACAATCCAGTCACCACTAATCTGATTGTCCTACAATCCAGTCACCACTGATCTGATTGTCCTACAATCCAGTCACCACTAATCTGATTGTCCTATTATCCAGTCACCACTAACCTGATTGTCCTACAATTCAGTCACCACTAATCTGATTGTCCTACAATCCAGTCACCACTAATCTGATTGTCCTACAATCCAGTCACCACTAATCTGATTGTCCTACAATCCAGTCACCACTAATCTGATTGTCCTACAATCCAGTCACCACTAATCTGATTGTCCCACTATCCAGTCACCACTAATCTGATTGTCCTACAATTCAGTCACCACTAATCTGATTGTCCTACAATCCAGTCACCACTAATCTGATTGTCCTACAATCCAGTCACCACTAATCTGATTTTCCTACAATCCAGTCACCACTAATCTGATTGTCCTACAATTCAGTCACCACTAATCTGATTGTCCTACAATCCAGTCACCACTAATCTGATTGTCCTACAATCCAGTCACCACTAACCTGATTGTCCTACAATCCAGTCACCACTAATCTGATTGTCCTACAATCCAGTCACCACTAATCTGATTGTCCTACAGTCAAGTTACCACTTATCTGATGTCCCACTATCCAGTCACCACTAATCTGATTGTCCTACAATTCAGTCACCACTAATCTGATTGTCCTACAATCCAGTCACCACTAACCTGATTGTCCTACAATCCAGTCACCACTAATCTGATTGTCCTACAATCCAGTCACCACTAATCTGATTGTCCTACAATCCAGTCACCACTAATCTGATTGTCCTACAATCCAGTCACCACTAATCTGATTGTCCTACAATCCAGTCACCACTAATCTGATTGTCCTACAATCCAGTCACCACTAATCTGATTGTCCTACAATCCAGTCACCACTAATCTGATTGTCCTACAATCCAGTCACCACTAATCTGATTGTCCTACAATCCAGTCACCACTAATCTGATTGTCCTACAATTCAGTCACCACTAATCTGATTGTCCTACAATCCAGTCACCACTAATCTGATTGTCCTACGATCCAGTCACCACTAATCTGATTTTCCTACAATCCATTCATTATTAAATATAATGATTATAAACAGGTTGCAAAACTTCCCAGTTGTTTTTAATGAAACAGATTTAACATGTTGATTGTTATCATTTCATTTGATTCTTTTTTTATTAAAATAATAAGATTATTTATATAGCTTTGGTTTTGATAAACCCTAACCCTGCAGCAGGAAACTGAGCAATCCAGTGGCACTGACAATATTCTTTGGTTTGTAGGAGCATCATTTGAAGGCCCACCAGTTCACTCACACGGGACAGCGTCCTTTTGACTGTCCTAAATGTGGTCGTACATTTAACCAACGTGCCAACATGATGCGCCATATGCTCATCCACAATCCCACAAGGGCGTTTCGCTGTGATGTTTGTGGCAAGACATTTACACAGCCACAGACACTAAAGGCTCACCGAGTGGTACATGCTGACATCAAACCTCACAAGTGTAAAATATGTGGTAAGTATATACAGTAGGTTTGTGAATTACAATATGTGGTAGATATATACTGTAGGTTTGTGTATTACAATATGTGGTAGATATATACTGTAGGTTTGTATATTACAATATGTGGTAGATATATATTGTAGGTTTGTGTATTACAATATGTGGTAGATATATACTGTAGGTTTGTATATTACAGTATGTGGTAGATATATACATACTGTAGGTTTGTATATTACAATATGTGGTAGATATATATTGTAGGTTTGTGTATTACAATATGTGGTAGATACATATTGTAGGTTTGTGTATTACAATATGTGGTAGATATATACTGCAGGTTTGTGAATTACAATATGTGGTAGATATATACTGTAGGTTTGTGTATTACAATATGTGGTAGATATATACTGTAGGTTTGTGAATTACAATATGTGGTAGATATATACTGTAGGTTTGTGTATTACAATATGTGGTAGATATATACTGCAGGTTTGTGAATTACAATATGTGGTAGATATATACTGTAGGTTTGTGTATTACAATATGTGGTAGATATATACTGTAGGTTTGTGTATTACAATATGTGGTTGATATACATTGTAGGCTGTGTATTACAACATTAAGTAGATATACATTGTAGTGTGTTCTATAACATTATTTTATAGATATTAATGAAGTGTTTTGTATTGCAATTTGTGACAGACACATACTGGATTTTTTTATCTACTGATAAGTGTAAAAAGTGTAGAAAGCTGAATCTGTAGCTTTACAGGATGATGTTGCATCTTAAAGAGAAAGTAACTCTATAGACAATATTGACACAAAACAGAATTATATAATCTTGTAAGGGAGGTAACTCTGTAGACACTATCCTCACAAAACTGATTGCATCCAATACAGTTGCCTACCACGGCAATCTTGTTGTGTGAGTTGGGGGTCCAGGGGGCTCAGAGTCCAAGGACAAACTGGAAAGATATGAGAATAATTTGGCAAATTTGCTTCATTTGTGTTGATGTTTCTACAACTACATATGTGAAAATAAGCAGTTATGCACCTGTTGTGGGGAAGATCTACACAAATCCAATACCACTGCTGGAATAGTCTTATACTGTCTACACAAAACAGACAACGTTACTGGAATCATCTTATAAGGAAGACATTACCATAGACTCTCTCTCAGTCTACTCAAATCTAATCCTGGAATCAACTTATAGGGGAGGTAACTCTGCAGACACAGTTTATACTGAACTAATCCTGGAAGAAATTATTGACACACAATCAATACTTATTCAAATGGGAGGTAACTCATGTCAGCATGAAAACAGTTCTTGTTTCTTTGAAGTTATGAATGATACTTCAGTTTAATACCTATTGTAAATATAAATTCTGGCAAGTATGTCACCTTACAATATTTTGTGATAGTTAGATTGATGTTACAGTCAGAACGTTTTACAATTTGTTTATTTTTATTTTCATATCAGGCAAGCAGTTTGGTCGTCTGCACAATCTCCAGGGACATATTCATATGCACAACAACAGTAAACCCTATGTTTGTTTCTGTGGCAGCTCATTTACTCTAAAAGGTAAAGTAGCATATAACTTGTGATTCTACATGTAACTAACAGGGATAAAAGGAAAACCTTTTATTATATTTTAGAGTTGGCTCTCTACTTACCGAGATATTCTTTTCCACTTTATTATGTCACCACCATTTAATAAGGGCTGGGGCAAATAGTGATACTCATGTCCATCCTCTCCAATCTGTCATGGTCCATTGCATCTTCACTGATTGGTTCATATTCATTTGGTCATGGTTAAAAGGTCAATAGTCTCATTGGACAACTTCTGTAAATTCCTCAAACAATAAAACTTAGGAGAGTTTGGCACCATATCCCAGATATTTTCCAGTTCTGTTTTAATTTCATAATATCTATCACCAAAATTCATTTCTTATGTCAGAAGTGTGCCCTATAATTGTAACAGTACAACTTCAGAACTATTGTTTGGTTTTTAGGTTTTTAAACTTTTGTTGGCATCTTGTGCTACTTGGGCATTAAATAAGACAATTTATGTAACTAGGCTTTAATCTACTGTATAGATTTTTATGTTTTTGAAATATCCATGTTTTGATTTATACTGAGTAGTTACCTGTTATTGTTTTACTTAACTAGGAAACCTTAATCGTCACAAGAAGGTAAAACATGGCCTGAATGAGAGCACTGAGAGCCTGGAGGAGGAGGCTGTTAGTTTCCTCAGTAGTCTGTCTGGTCGCACTCAGGTGGACGAGTCTGAAGCCTTCCTTGACTACTGCGAATTTGAACAGGAGGTGGACCAGATTGCGTCAACATCAGACCCGCGAACTCCACGAAAAGGTCGCAAGTCTGTCATTCCCCGTAAGATAATGCGTCGCAGGTCATCAGCAAGTAGGAACGAGAATGAGGATACAGATCAGGAGGATGAGGTTGAGGATGGAGACTTTGAGGAGGAAGAGGAGGAGGTCAGTCAAGGTCATTCTGCAGGAGAAACCACCTCTAGTTATTTTGGTGATGCTGAACAGAAACAGAACCAACAAAGTTATATTACAGATCAAAAAAGTGATAATCAGCAATTTTCTCTTCGCAAACGTAAGGTAGCAAATTGTACCAATAGAACATCAGAGGAGACTCCTGGAGAGTTGTCTAGTGAGATGAGTGAAGGACAGGACAATGAAGATGTCAGCGACTCCGAGTGGAGGCCTGCATCTAAAAGGACAAGGACAGGAAAAGGAGCAAAATTAGACTCTATCATTGCACAAAAGTTCAAAAACGTATGATGTGGTAGATCAGATTGAAAGGATAATTAAACTGGAAAATATTTTCAGATCTCCAAAGTCTGCATGTGTTACCTACATAAGTGTGTAGATACTATCCTAAAAGTTGGTCTACCTAACTGGATAGATTAGACTTGGGTGAGGACAATAAAGCTTATCCTATAGTATATCAACTAATAGAGAGGTAGCATTTGGAGTCCATATAGGCTCTTTAACATGACCACAATAGATCTCACGATGAAATTGATTTCAATCAATAATTATCAGGTAACATTTGATACACATGGCATCTTATGATCGAAAAACATACCAGTATCCATTAACAAGTTTGATAAACGTTTAAACAGAAATTCTTACTTATAATTAATATTCCATCCTTCACAAATATAGCTTTCTTTTAACTAACTCTCACACTGCTTGCTTCACACAACATTCCAACTGTTGTTTGGCTGGTTTATATAGGAGATCTGTATCTTGTCATTCTAACTGTTGTTTGGCTGGTTTATATAGGAGATCTGTATCCTGCCATTCTAACTGTTGTTTAGTTGGCTGGTTTATATAGGAGATCTGTATCCTTTCATTCTAACTGTTGTTTGGCTGGTTTATATAGGAGATCTGTATCCTGTCATTCTAACTGTTGTTTGGCTGGTTTATATAGGAGATCTGTATCCTGTCATTCTAACTGTTGTTTGGCTGGTTTATATAGGAGATCTGTATCCTGTCATTCTAACTGTTGTTTAGTTGGCTGGTTTATATAGGAGATCTGTATCCTGTCATTCTAACTGTTGTATAGTTGGCTGGTCTATATAGGAGATCTGTTTATAATTTAGTTTTTTTACGGATACTGTAGAATCATACATTTTTGGAGGCTTAAATTCTGTGGGTTTTTTTTCTCAAAAATTTGTGTTTTCATTGACTCTTAATCTCATGGATGAATCTCACAAAGTCCACTTGTGCTAAAGTACATGCTAGTTTTGATCTGGTTTATTATTTAGGTAACATATAAATTGATGGAGTAATTGTAACCATATATTCAACAAAACTTCACTCCCACAATATGAATGATTGTACAGTAGTAGGTAGGTGATTAGGTTTTGTCTGTGATATAGTTATGTTTGTGATAATGCACAGTATTATATACATCACTAAGCCCTTCACAGTTTTAGTCTCATTTCAAAGCTGAGGAGCTAAGTATATGTGGAGATTGACTGGACATTTTTGTAGTCATAGTTTAAGGTCAAAGGTCACTGTTAACCACTTTAACATAAAAGCTTGCACTAATATCTCATGAACCCCAAGCAGATTTTATAAATACACCCTAATGTTGTACCATAAATTGATGAACCTGATTTTCATGGTCGTCAATCAAAGCTAAAAGTCAAATGTCACCAACCATTTTTGAAATTAAGTACCTGTGTACCAGATATCTCTCATAATCCCTCCATAGATTAAGTTATAACTAAACAAATCTGGAATTTTGAGGTATGATAATGAAACCTATTGTATGTTCACTTTGTCTTTTGCTGTGCAGTAGAAATACCTATTTCATTGTCCGGTAATAAGCCCATGTCAGATAATACAGTGTAGCCCCACCCATAACTGTTACTGTTCAGTAGAAATACCTATTTCTTTGTCCCGTAATAAGCCTATGTCAGATAATACAGTGTAGCCCCACCCATAACTGTTACTGTTCAGTAGAAATACCTATTTCTTTGTCCCGTAATAAGCCTATGTCAGATAATACAGTGTAGCCCCACCCATAACTGTTACTGTTCAGTAGAAATACCAATTTCATTGTCCTGTAATAAGCCCATGTCAGATAATACAGTGTAACCCCACCCATAGTTGTTACTGTTCAGTAGAAATACTTATTTCATTGTCCTGTAATAAGCCCACCCCCTGACTTAAAGTCAGATATGATATCATGGCCCTCAGGCATATTTCTAGATAAATATTAGTAGACGAGCATTATCTAATTGAATGTATATATTATTTATTGGTGTGATATTTTATATATAGTATTATGATACAATGTTCCTGTGACAATCTAGTCCCATTCCAAGTTATGATGTACATATGTGATGATTTTGTACTGTATCCATTCCAATAATTACCCGTTCCCTACTCTTGTCAGTCAAATAGTTGCTTTCAGCCAATCAAAAAACCTCTTACAAACCTCTAATAGCCCCCTGACCCAATTACAACATGTACCTAACTATTACCCGCCCCCTGACCCCATTACAACATATACCTAACTACTACCCGCCCCCTGACCCCATTACAACATATAGCTAACTACTACCCGCCCCCTGACCCCATTACAACATGTACCTAACTATTACCCGCCCCCTGACCCCATTGCAACATATACCTAACTATTACCCGCCCCCTGACCCCATTATAACACATACCTAAAACTATTACCTGCCCCCTGACCCCATTACAACACATACCTAACTATTACCCGCCCCCTGACCCCATTATAACACATACCTAAAACTATTACCTGCCCCCTGACCCCATTACAACACATACCTAACTATTACCTACCCCCTGACCCCATTACAACATATACCTAACTATTACCTGCCCCCTGACCCCATTACAACACATACCTAACTACTACCCGCCCCTGACCCCATTACAACATATACCTAACTATTACCCGCCCCCTGACCCCATTACAACACATACCTAACTATTACCTACCCCTGACCCCATTACAACATATACCTAACTATTACCCGCCCCCTGACCCCATTACAACACATACCTAACTATTATCTGCCCCCTGACCCCATTACAACACATACTTAACTATTACCCGCCCCCTGACCCCATTACAACACATACCTAACTACTACCCGCCCCCTGACCCCATTACAACATATACCTAACTACTACCCGCCCCCTGACCCCATTATAACACATACCTAACTATTACCCGCCCCCTGACCCCATTACAACACATACCTAACTATTACCTACCCCCTGACCCCATTACAACACATACCGAACTATTACCCGCCCCCTGACCCCATTACAACACATACCTAACAATTACCCGCCCCCTGACCCCATTACAACATATACCTAACTATTACCTGCCCCCTGACCCCATTATAACACATACCTAACTATTACCCCTACTGTTGGAAATCACGGTAGTGATTATTAGAATGAATACAGTATGTATAACTGTTCCAGATTGGTTTGATACCGACTTGTTTATGTTATTGTGTATATATACACTATCTTGTTATAAATATATATTGTTTTTACACACTGTGTGTGTGATCCAGGGCCCAACAAGCAGTAGCTTTAATCCTAATTTTATATACTACAGTCAATAAAAATAACTGTAAACATAAAATCTTAACATCTCAAAATTTGTTTGTGTTGTACTTTTATACCACTGCATGTACTAAAGAGTTTTAAAATAAGACAAACTGTTACCTACTGTGGGAGAGTGGGTGGGGAGGAGGGGGAGGGTCATAATTGAAAGGTCATCAAAGAAACAGGTCTCCTATCTAATGATATTCCTTGTTACAACAGGGCACTTGTCTGGTACTAGTCCTTGTCACAACAGGGCACTTGTCAGGTAATAGTCCTTGTCACAACAGGGCACTTGTCTGGTACTAGTCCTTGTCACAACAGGGCACTTGTCTGGTGATAATCCTTGTCATAACAGGGCACTTGTCTGGTAATAGTCCTTGTCACAACAGGGCACTTGTCAGGTAATAGTCCTTGTCACAACAGGGCACTTGTCTGGTAATAGTCCTTGTCACAACAGGGCACTTGCCTAGTTATAGTCATCGTCACAAAAGGGCAGCTGTCCAATAATCTTCCTTTTGACAAACGGAGAAGCTGACCAAAACATTCTTTGTCCCAACAGGGAAATTTTCCAATACTATTTCTTGTCACAACAGGACAGCTGTCCTGTAAAATTCCTTGTCATTCCAGGGCAACTGTCCAATGATGTTTCCTATTACAACAATAGACAATAAAGTTCTTGGTGACTAAGGTCCATTGGCAAAACAATTTTAGCTGTTCAGATGTAAGATATTTCTGTAGTCATAATTTGAGATTGAGATGTTAAATAATTCTTTACAAAAATGAATTTCAAAGACATGTTTGGTGGCTACAACTTTGTTATAGCTAAGATGGAACCTTGCTGTTGATGGTAGTATATCTCACACAAATGATAAGGAGTCTGATGTGTGTACGAAGATAAAATTTTATTATCAACCACCTTTACACTGTAAAAGCTGCTGACGGTACATCCTTAGTTTGTTACAACTTTGATAAACATGAAAGGAAAAAAAAAAAAGGAGCATGAATTTGACATGGCTAAAAGATCACATTTTGTATATATTATGTACATAAAGTTTTATATAGCACACCATGTCAACATTTCTTTCGATTGCTCTTGGTAAATGTTGTATACCACAGATAAAACACTACTATATCAATCATCATAACCTAGATATCAACAAACAATGCTAATATACAGTAAAATAGCACAGGATACACTGATACTAGTCTCTAAAGCATTATCTTCCTGAATCACAAGATTTGTAGATTTAAGACGTTTGTGAAAATGCAAAAATATAGAGCAATGTTATTTTCAATTAAGTATCAATTTTCATAAATTTAGTTGATTCTATAAGGTTAATGTTGTCAAGCAAACAGTTTGAACCCATCCATCCCCGTGTTTTCACACTGGACTTTTCCTAATCTTTAGAGGGTTGGTCCAGTGGAGTTAGGGAGGGGAGGAAGGGTATAACAGGAAGAGTGGTATCACCATAGTTCTGACATATAACAAGATAAACAAAAACTCAATAATGGGACACACCCACATCAGTAACATTGACTAAACACAACCTTCCCTACAATGGAACTGCCTTAGTTGGACGCCGTTAGCCACAACCACTTAGTCCTACCTATAAAGGACTTCCAAATGACAGGCTTTGCCAATCACATTGACTTTGGGTAAAAAAAATGTCTAAAAGGTGTTTTTAGGCTACAATGACCTCCATCAAGTAAAATGTTCTTTATTTTTAGGTATACTAAATGTTAATAAAGATAGATAATTGGCTATTAACTAAAATTATTTATTATTATTATTATTATAATTCCATGGTCTCCATGCAGTCCACAACTGTTAGAGACACCAGGATAATTTCATGGTCTCTGTGTAGTCCACAGCTGTTAGAGACACCAGGATAATTCCATGGTCTCTATGTGTTCCACAGCTGTTAGAGACACCAGGATAATTTCATGGTCTCCGTGTAGTCCACAACTGTTAGAGACACCAGGATAGTTCCATGGTCTCCATGTAGTCCACGACTGATAGAGACACCCAGGATAGTTCCATGGTCTCTGTGTAGTCCACGATTGTTAGAGACACCAGGATAATTCCATGGTCTCCGTGTAGTCCACAACTGTTAGAGACACCAGGATAGTTCCATGGTCACTGTGTAGTCAACGAGAGTTAGAGACACAGGATAATTCCATGGTCTCTGTATTATTGGGACACCCAGTATTAAATTTCAGACACATCCTTAGTAGTTTTGTTCAACAACCATAAAAACAAGAAAGGTTAACTAGGATCACATACGATTATACATGTTATATATGAAATTGTATTGTATTTGCTAAACTACAACTTTTAAAAATCAACAAGTTAATTTGACATGATGATCAGGTGAGGATGTCCCGTACAACTTTTGTATTCTTTAAGAAGTAATTAATGTAAATAAACCTACTGAAATGCAAATTAACACTAATGATATGCCATCAATAAAGCTCATTTAGTCCTTATAATTAAAGTTGAGCTTTAACAGATATAAATTTAACATAATCAAATAAAAATGATGGGTTCAATTCCTTTAACATTTAATATAATATTTCATATCTTTGTCATTTAAAAATGGTTTAGTTTTTCCATTTCTTGGTCTTAACTCCACTACTCTAGATATATTGCTTTGAATTCTATTAATATGCAATATTTAAAATACAGTCCACTGACTTTAAATTCAGGAATACAGTTATAAAACCACAACGGCATATTATTCTCAACAACAAATCTTGTATAGTGATAAAAAATGCCTGAAATTGTACTGATACAGATGACCTTGACCTGAAGTTGTTCTCACAATGAAAATGACCTTGACCTGGACACCAACATTGAAATTAACATTTTAGAAACAAGCACAAATGTAAATCAATGACATCAATAAAACCAATGTTACCATAATTATCCATCAGTAGGCCCATGCCTGATAATCAGCATGTTACAGAAATACCAACCAATGTAACATTGTTATACAACAAGACAACATGCTGACTACGCTAACTACGAGTTAGAGACTTTTATAAACCTCCTTCTTGTAGGATATTTACGGTATGTGTATATAAATAAAACGTACTGTTAACCATCTGCTAATAGTTTGGTCTGGAGATTGAATACCCTGGGATTTTTTTTAAACATTTATAAAGCTTAGTATCAGATAAATAAAAATAATTTTAATCTCATTCTAAATAACAAATAATTGATATCTAATTGCACATATCCCTTAGAAGAAAAAACATTTTATGAACATGTAAATACCTAGTGTAGCTAATTTGTATACAAAAGTTAAACATTTTTCATATCGAGTATAAATAGAAAACAAAGATTATCAATTAACAGTGTAATGAGTGACATCACCACTTCCAGGTCGAAGCTGGAATGAAACTATACAGAAACAGTTGTTTAAAAAAGTTTGAATAATTTTTCTATTAGAAGAACAATAGGAAGAAAACATAACAATCTATGTCCGTTTATCAGCATGTAAACAAGGTATTGTCAGGAGCGTGACTTCCTAACCAATCAAAAATCATAGCTTTACACTCTATATCATACACTGGTAGTCACAGCATTATCAAACTTTGGTCAACTAGAATGCTATTTATTTGTTCATTTGTGAAAAAAAAAATTTTTTGATAGGGACCATAATCAGGATTTCAAAAACAAATTTGGCAAATGAATCAAAGATGACACGAATGCCGTGAGTATTTAAACATGGTTTTACTTTAATGAGGTCTCGCATCAAGCATATATAGCTTTAGTCAGAAAACACATATGTACCCAGAACACATGTATGAAATAGTCTTTATCACCTGAAATGACAACATTTTTCATCTAAATTTATATGATCTAAACATACAGCAAGATATACACCATTTTGTAAACGACCTTCATTCATACTCAAATTAGGGCCATAGAAACACAACACTGACCTCAGCACACGATTGGTTAGTCCAAACACTAAGTGAGGTAGGGAACAATTTATCAACAAAACTTCTCCAATTCAATTTCTGCAAAAACAAATTTGAATATTAAAATAAGAAATGGTTTATCACTATAGTGACATAGGGAAATGAAGATTAGATGTTAGAAAATAGATAAATAAAAATGATGTACGAAAAAGGATGGTAGGAAATAAAGTAGAAGTTTTGGAATGTATGTTTTGGTATATCATACACGTGTATAATATTGGGGAATGCAAAAGTATTAAAGTATAATAAAGAAATGTAAAATTCAGCAATCAGCCCCAAACAAGTTTGGATCAAACAATATGGATTTTATGATATCTAAAGTAGACAATGGATGTCAGGAACCATCAATCATTACCCCACCATGCACCTACCCACCCAATGTCCCACCCATTCCTAAACCTTCCTCTCATATTGTGTTATTCTCTGTCATCCTATCACTTTCTGTACACTAAGCTCCCTCTCTCTTATTTCCTATAATTTATACCCCCTCCCTACATCAAAACCATGCACTAATTAGCAGGTGTCTGCCCCACAACACTACCCTGTTTACCTTTATCATGTCTGTCTCTCATACATTCTGACATTAATTAAGACATTTGGTTTCCTTTTCAGTTCTACAAGACACTTCCTTGTATCTTCTGTACTGTAAGACACTTCCTTACTATTTCTGTACTGTAAGACACTTCCTGACTATTTCTGTGCTGTTAGACACTTCCTGACTATTTCTGTGCTGTTAGACACTTCCTGACTATTTCTGTGCTGTTAGACACTTCCTGACTATTTCTGTACTGTTAGACACTTCCTGACTATTTCTGTGCTGTTAGACACTTCCTGACTATTTCTGTACTGTAAGACACTTCCTGATTATTTCTGTGCTGTTAGACACTTCCTGACTATTTCTGTGCTGTTAGACACTTCCTGACTATTTCTGTACAGTAAGACACTTCCTGACTATTTCTGTACTGTAAGACATTTCCTGACTATTTCTGTGCTGTAAGACACTTCTTCATATCTTCTGTGCTGTAAAACACTTTCTTATATATCTTCTGTGCTGTAAAACACTTTC